ATATATCATTCAATAAAAAAATGAACCAATGATAGTAATTTGTAAAAGTAAGAACACAACTCTACTCCCTTGTAGGCCGGCATTTGTCCAAACAAAATGAATTATTTTTGAAACCCTATCAGTGCCTTTCTCTGTCTTCAGCCCTTTATGATTAAATGGGAACTGTTCAATGGACTGCTACACAAATAAGTCTTGACTAAACCTCAACACTCACTATGGCAAAATCACCTATTACGGAGTTATTCCCGAAGTTGGCAAAGCTACCTCAACAATACCAGGCTAGTAAGCCTTTATGATTATGATGTGGGGTGTGCGATAGACTTACCTCCACGTGGTGCACCTTGGGTAACGTATACTCACACGGCAAAAAAGTCTATTAACCGGCAGTTGACTTCTCACTTCAAACTACCAACACCCCACTGTAGGCCATTTTTGACTCCTTACAGAGTACTCATCTCACCTTTTACATCTGCAAATAAATCTTCTCATCACTCCTTCCTGCATTTTCCCACTTTAAATAAATAAATGATTATGATGTCATTAACATGGAGCATAGTCACAAAATATTGTTTTGGATACGCTGACCCTGCAATAACTATTTCGGGTTGTTGATTAGCAGAGAAGTCTCCAATCTCGTGACCTCATTTGCTCCCTGACGCGATTAGAATCACGTCCGCACGTTCCAACATGCTCGAAAGCGCCCATGAGACTGTTTAATTCAATCGAGTAATGGCTGTGTATCCCCCCACACTCGTAACATTCTATCGACTTGACTTGAGCGACTGTATTGTGCGTTTTTAAGAGGATGACTCTTATTAATTACTATCCTTTATTCCCATTCCCCTCTTTTCTCCGATGTCGTAATTGTCTTCCTACGCAACTCTTAGTTTTCTCATTTGAGAGACTTTGTTGCATTCAGTTAGCCTTTAGCATGAAGTTAAGTCATATTTGGTCCGGATTCATAGGGAACCCCTCCCTCCTCCCACTGACAGAATTATTGCCACCTTTGACTATTCTTAAGCCATAACATCACCCTTCATGATCTCTTCCAAACCTGAGACCAACAATGGAAAAGTAATATTAAGAACCTGTCATTAATAAAGTGATATCATCTCAGCTGACTTTTGATTTGATGTTCACTTTTGCTTGATTTTTCAGAAGGATCTGTGTACTCTCAATGTCATCCAAGTCGACGGCGTAGTGAATTGGAGCCATAAGTTCGTCATCCTATTCAAAAAAAACCACTAGTTGCTTTATTAGTCAACGCGTGATTTTAAAAGAAGCAGAAAACTGACTTACGAAGGCATTGATCAGTTTTGGCATTTCCTCGTGTTTACAGAGTTGTTCCAATACAAGTGGACAATCACTGAGTACGGCAAGATGGAAGACATTTTTCTTATTCTATTCAAAGTACAAAAATATGGACTCAATTAGGGCACCTAAAGCATCTTTCAATCAAAACGTTCATCCTTTTGGAAGCAAACACCTCATTCGCACTTACTGTGTCCAAATGGGATTCCAGATAACCAATCCTGGAAAGAACGGTTGTTGCTCGTAGACTGCCAGATATTGTGGCTATCATGAGTGGAGTATAATTATTCAGATCCAGTTCTTGGAAATTGGAAATAACTTGGCTTCTGACTAGAGCTTCGAGAGTCTTAATGGAATCTGACTTTGCAAGAACGTGGAGAAGTGTAAATCCGCGCTACAAAAGAGAATTCGCGTTAAGGAAAAAATAACTCGAAGGCGATGTAATTGAAAGTTCTTTTGGTCAATTACCTTTGTTTTTCGCTGGACAGATGCTCCTTTTCTAATTAGGTAGATAACAATGTCTAAATGGTCATTGTAGGCAGCCCAAAACATGGGTGACATTCCATGCTGAAATGAAATAATTCAGATTAAAAATCAACTAACAATGTCTAATTTTGAATTAGCTAGAATCCTTGTTTTCCTGTTTGTTCAAAATCGCCAACTTATCTCATTGTTTCCTCTCCTTCCTTTTGAAAGTAAAACATTCACCCACCCACTATCATTGAACTTCACTTTCTTATGTGATTGAGATATCAATTGGGCTTCGTCTCTTTGAATTTCTCTACGTTCAAATATTTTGTATAATGCTCTTTTAAATCATTGACATTAGAATTATAAATGATCATGAAAAGGAATAACAAATCATACATATTAGTATAAAAATTACTAATGATAATAGTAATTTTATAATTGTCCCCAGAAACCATTGGGACAAATCGTCGATTAATCAATGACAGCTGATTGGTCGTTCTGGCTTTGGTCATTGATTGGTCAAGAGGCCTCTGCATTGGTCAAGCTAAAGTTGTGTTCCCTATAATTCCTGAAGCCAGAATACTAACAATCACCTCTTACTTCTGACGACCAAATTAAAGAAGTCTCTTCGCATTACCTATATTAAACCCTGCCCCTTGCTCTTTTTTGAAATATTTTATCTTTCCTGGGTTATTATGTTTTTTACAACAAAATATTCGTATATGGCACAACTGTCAATGAAATTTACAGTGCTTATTGGTATGAAAACTAATGAATTGCAGTGATGTATTAACGTTGTCTTTTAAATAACAAAATGAGACTAATCAGAAGTAAAAGGGGAACCATGGATGAAGTAAAATAAATATAAAGCAAAATTTTACCGTATATAAGTATGGTTACGTTTTCAGTATTTGAAGTGAAACTGCGGATTTTTGACATGCTTGCCAAAGAGGGAACGCAATAAACACCAAACTCAATCCCATAAACTCTTTGTACTCCTACTAACTTCTCCCCATTCAGATTAACTTCAAGATCATAAACGCCAAATAGTTTAGTCTACTATTTATGGTGGAGTATGACTATAATAAAATTATTTTTATATTATAGATTCTTGTTGTTCATCAAGTTATCAAATTTAAACATAATCGATTCATCGAAATTAAATATAAGAGCAATTAGGTTAATTGTTGTTTTTACTGAATGGTCATTTTTAGCACTTAGTTGAAGTCGGAATCAGTGTATTATGCTTACCGCTAAGTAGTCTATCAAAGCAGTCACATGTGTAATTTGAATTTGAATTGTAGAGTGCACAAAGCTCTCATGGCTGAACAAAGAAATCTCAAGCGTATTCAAACAGGTTCGAAAGTGTGGCCATGCTACTTATCGGAAGTGAGGTCATGCGCGTAGAGACAAACCCTTCATGGACAGGTTTATGACTAAGCTTCGTGACAGACACGCAGCCCAAATAAATGTATTTCACACCATACGTCTGTTTCCTCTATTAGCTTTACGGTAGCTTAGCTAATCCTGAGAACCATTCCAAACCTTGAGAACTTGCCATGGAGATTACTTAGCATGAGTCAAGGCTTATTAGACTACCAGCAAACAGGTAATAAAGACTGGAAACCTTCAATCCTTCTCTTTTATCGCGTTTCAGTCCTTTTCCTCATCTGTTTGATTAATTGTCGTTTACTTCAGCGTAAGTGCATATCAAAATACCCATTTCAACTACTGCTTATTCACTTCTAAATGAGACAAAAGTAGTCATCAAAAGTGTTGAGATTATATCCGGAAATTTACGCCTCACGAAGACGGTCTCTTACATTGAAGGAATTTAATTTGATGAAACTAGAATTGGCTTCATTTCAGACATGACCTACTCGTTCTTAAGTCCCCAACCCTTTCCTCTCCTTAACCTGCCTTACCTTTCATTATATTTTAAAGCCTTTCCTCATTTAAAAAATCAAAACGGTTTTCTTGGTAGTGAAACAAAAAAAGAAGACAAACCTTATCTGGTAGATCAACTAGGGCATGGTTTTCAACCAATAGCGTCACGGCTTCGGTGCACCCTTGAGCAGCTGCCAAGTGAAGAGCTGTCCGATCGAGGTTGTTTTTGACATCCAGACGGCAACCCCGTGTGTCAATAATCATCTGAATGACATCACAACGGTTGGTTCTGGCCGCCTCCAGCAGTTGGAATTGTATTTTTGTCACTAAAGTACGATTTAAGGATTAATGCCGATGAATATATATGCATACATACGTGGAGATGAACTTTAAAGACCTAAGCATACTATTAATGAGAAATAATTCAACACATAGAAAATAATGATAAAATGAATTCATAATGATTGATATTACAAATTTCGGGGTGCGCAGTAGACTTACCTCCACGTGGTGCACCCTGGTCAACGTATACTTATACGGCAAAAAAGTCTATTATCCGGCAGTTGACTTCTAACTTCAAATTTCTATGGCCCGAATATTTTTCATATTCGACCCCTTTCACAGTACTCATCTTACCGACTATTTGTCATATTTGACCCCTTTCACAGTACTCATCTTACCTTGTCATATTCGACTACTTTCACAGTACTCACCTCACCTTCTGTAACACTCTGCCTTTGTGTCTCTCTCTTTTACATCTATGAAACACTCTTCTGTTCCCCCCCCTGCCTTTGTGCCTGTCTCTTTTACATCTTTGAATCACTCACTTTTTTGTCTGTTCTTTTACATCTTTGAAATTCTCTTTACATCTTGAATCACATGCCTTTATGTCTGTTTGTCTGTCTCTTTTACCTCTGTGAATCATTATTCTGTCTCCCATATCGATTTTTTGCCACTTTGATGTCCCTTCTCCTCTTCATTAAACCCCGAAGTCAGCTCCAGGGCTAATGATAACTATCAAAACGCCTGCCATTTGATATAAATAAATAAATAAATATTATAAATTTCAAGCTAATGTAGCGAAGGAAACTGAAACTGCTATGGCTGCAGTCTAATTTCGAACAGAAGTGTTAACGAGACGAAACAAATTCTGCGGTAATTAATGTCCATGTGCTGACTTAAATGACGTTTGGAAATAGTTGAAGTTAATACGCGAGGGAGTAGAAGAATGTAAGTTCCACACTTCCCTACAAAAACCGATTAACTTATCCACCTACCCAACTCCCCCCCCCTCTCTCAAGATGTGTGATTTCAAGAAGAGTGGTTTGACGCATAAAGAATATGCGGTTGCTTTCTCCATTCCACTGTACTTTTCGCTGAGTTGTCCAATAAATCATCTCAACAGATCATTAAAACGAACATCCCATGGATGCGTTTGCAAATGTACTGCATATTAACCTCTCCTATTGGCTAGTTATGCATCCCATTTTACTGCAGGATCCAACCTTATAAAATCTGGGGTGTGGGATAGACTAACCCCCGCGTGGTGCATCCGGGGAAAGGTATAATCATACGGCAAAAAAGTCTATTAACCGGCAGTTGACTTCTCCCTTCAAACAACCATCACCCCCACTGTATGTCATGTTCGACCCCTACCACAGTACTCATCTTACTTTTTCCGAGCCTTTGTGTCTGTCTGTTTCTTTGACATCTGTGAACCACTCTTCTATTCCACCTCCTGAATCCTTCTCACTTTGATGTTCCTCCTCCCCTTTGTAAAGCCCAAAGTCAACTAAAGTGCTAATGATAACTATCGATATGCCTGCCATTTGTAATAAATATTTTGTAAAATCTCTGTTTTTTGACTCAAGCTCTTGGGCCGATTGTACATATTTCGCTGATTATGAAAACACGTGCACTTTTAGATGCTAGCCACTCACATTCATGT